ATAAAATAAATCGATTTTTGAATCGATTCGAATCGGAAGAAAAAGGTTAGTGTAGAAGAGATCGTTAAAAAATTCGGAAAAGTTAAGAAAATATTTTTTGAACAAAACTTAATGTCCAACGCATTGACGCTAGTTTTATATTATTCTCATGGTAGAATCCGGAAATATAAAGGCTTCAACCCACAGTAGTTTTCAATAAGCTTAAATTTTTAATAGCCGTTGTTGTATTTTTTTAGAGAGATGACAACCCCGTTAAAAACATTTTTAAATCTCTTCAAACGCTTGAAGTTTTGAAGAATAAACTTAATTATATATTTTACTGACCTTTAAACAATTTAAAATTTTCAAATATCTGGCAACCCCATTTTTAAAAAAATGATTACCCAATACCCACAGAAATAATCGAGTAGAATGAAAAAAATGGGCACCTCTATTGAGCTGTTCGTGCGTGATGTGGTTATGAAAACTTAAAATAACTAATTTTGTTGCCCAACAGATAGGATTATCGGTTAATTTTATGTTCAATGTTGAAGAAATAGTAAGAGTATTTAAGCTAGCTAAAACGTACAATCGGCAATCTTCTTCAATCGCGTTACATGGTGTAGAATCTCTTGTTTCATATTTTTTACATACAGGTATGTTCTGAAATCGGTACGCTTTGCTGAATAATTAAGTTTATTTCTGATGAAAATATTGAACATTTTATATTAAAACCATAAAAGAAAAGTCAGCTATGTTATATCGGTGACATTTAAAAAAAATCAACGGAAATAACGTCAATTGACACTATTTCGCATACTGGTGCGAAATAAAATCATTTGACATTATTACTACCTTTTCGAAAGTGAAATAAAATCCGTTGAAATTATTGCTCTTTCAAAGGTTAAATTTGCATATCGTCGCAGCGGCCTGCGTCCGCGCGCCACACAGGCACACGCAGGTAGATTTATTTTTTGTATACTTTTTATTTAAATTTTTAAGTAGTTCATATATTTTAAATTTTTATATTTGTAAGTTATTGGAAGATTTTTGCTGTGTTGGCAACCAGAGCATTTTGCATCAGCGCGATTTTGCACAATTTTTCAATAGCATTCTGCACAAAGCGTTTCATTAGCTTTGAATTTAATAGTGTTCATCAGTGCTGCCAAGTTTTGAATTAGAAAAAGCACTAGAATCTAAAAAACTCGCGTTTTTTCTCGAAAAAGCACCAGCAAAAAAAAATAATATTGTAGGGATGCCCATTCAAATTAGTAAAAATCAATGTTTCTTTCTCGACGGTCGAATTTATTCTATTTAGTATAAACTCAAATATTTTCGTCCAAGTGACGTTAAGTTTCTTGTTCTTATTTTCTCCTTTGCAGCTAAGTCCAGCGTTCCGTTTCGCTTAGATGTAAGCAAAATTCATAAATTTTTCTTGACTGTTTGAATGTTAAAATTTTCTTCGTTTTGCCTAATTTTTTCTACAATTCCTATCAAACGAAAACAAAAACAAGAAATGAAGTTTCATGAACTATGTGTTAGTTTAAATCTACATTGCAGTCTCTTATGATCTAGTAAACTAAAGGAACATAAAGAATATTTTTTCCGACCGCCTAACGCCTGAAATATAACGAAATTTGATTTCCCTTTTTAATGTATCATATTTGAGCGTATTATCAAGGAGATGCTGCTGCTTTTTTGAATAGTCGTAAAAATATATGACAAGTTCAGCCCAAGCTGAAGGTCGATTTATGGTTCCAGCAATTCCGAATTACCGAATGTTATTCTGACATGACTGAGAGTGCTGCCACATATTTTGTTGGTAAACATATGCTTTTTGAATAAAGAAAATCAGTAAATTTAGCGCGAAAAGCACCAAGTTGGCAACAGTGGTGGCCTTTCAATAGTGTTTGCTTTATTTTTGGAATCGAAACATGCATTCCAGCTCTTTGGTTTTTCGCATCGTGTTTTTATTATATTCGTAATTTTAAGTTTTCTCATAAAATCGATTGGTGGTGGTTCTTGATTGTGTTGATTAATAGCACTGAGGATTTGGCAATAACCTCTTTCATCTATGGAAACACCTATGGGTCAATTTTTATTGTAACATTCATATCTCACGTATAATGCAAGAACAACATTTTTTGATTTGAATCGAAATATGTTAAGCATTCTGGACGCTATATACTTTTGATATGAAAAAAAAAATAAAAATATTTACGAAATCGTACCGATTTCAAATCGTCCCAATTTCAAAACATACCTGATAGTAGTAATAAAGGTTAACTTACGATCCGATAGGTACAATGAATTGATTTCCATGGAAAGCATGATAAATAGCTGCCATAGACCAAGCTATACCGATTCCAAGAAAAACATTTACTGCATTGCTACCTGTCACATTACCAATAGCATTGTCAGCCGTCTTGTCATGCACAGCGGCTACTTTACTCGCGAACGTATCTATAAGGTAAATATATGTAAGTAGCAACATATTTACTACACCGTGCGAAAATCATACCCACAAAAATGAATAATAATAATAGATTGGCGCTTTCACACATGTTAGTGTTTGGCCGAGCTTCTCCTCCCATTTGTGGAGTGCGCCTTGATGTTGTCACACAAAGGGGAGGGACCTACAATTTTACGCCGACTCCGAACGGCGATTGTATTTTAATGGGAAGCTGTTTTTCATGACAGAAATATACTCGAAGGTATACCATTGCCTGCCGAGGGGCGACCGCTGTCAAGAAAAAACCTTTTTTCTATATTTTTTTGCGATGTTGCTTTGACCAGGGCTTGAACCCAGCCCTGCGGAGTGGAAGCGCGCACTGGTTAGCACTACACCACAGCGGCCGCAAAAATGAATTTTCTCGCAAAATTAGGGACCATATATATACTTAGCAACGTTTTTAGTATTTCTCTGAGTGGTCAGGATTTCTTCACCGGCGCTGTGATATTTCCAGGATATTATTCAGCGTATGCAGCGCAATGTACATGTAGAATATCAATATGGGTACCAAATGAAAGGTAAAATTCTGTAGAATTGAAAAAGATCTAAAATTTCGTCCTTCTAACTTTATTAGTTTAGGATAAAAAATAGTAATTAAAAAGGGGCAATCCCAAAAACTCTTCGCCCTTGTGAGACAAAATTTATTTTTGTTTTTAATATGTAGAGGTTTTTCTTTCATTCGGTATTCACATTATTATTGTGCGTTGCACTGAATTTTTAAAATCACACATCAAGGCGAATTCATATAAGGTGGTGGCGATAGTACAAAAACAAAAAATTACATACATATATTTTGTTTTTGCTTTCGGGAAAGAATATACAAACACCCTAAAATATAAGTCATTGACATTTGTGTGCCAAGGCAAATTAATTCAACTGTTCTAGTACCTCCACCAAGGCGAATTCATATAAGTTCGTAGCAGAAGTACAAAAACATAAAATTACATTAACATATTTCACGCACAGTAACAGTATGAATTACAACAACCATATCATTTTGACATTCAGTACAACAGCGGCAAAAATCCAGCTATTCCGGTAAGACCACCTTTTATGAATTCGCATTGAATCATGTCTTTAAAAGCTTCAAAGAAATTAAAAAAAAAATGTATAATAACGTCAGAGAGACAAACATAAAGCGCTAGTTTATTATACATATTTGGTCCGTAGTTACGGGAGTATGTATATTGATCTTTTTTTGTGTATTTTGAAATTTTTTGATTTTTCTCGCACAGTGTCTGGTACATATGTAACTATAGTACTTATTTATTAATTCTTTTAATTAACTGAGTGAATCAGATTGTAGTTTATAATTTATAATTTACCTGGCAAACTGGTACCGAGCGCTACAAAGCATATAGCTGTGACCGAATCGAGTACACCCAACGTACAACCGAAATGCGATGAGACATCGCCGAGCACAGCTGTGCATATCGCTATTAGAATTATTGAAACAAAGAAACACGGATATCCATCATGCAGCTCTGAAATTATAAGATAGTTACTCAGCTCGATGCTGCAACTATTATAAATTAGTTAGCATATCGATGCATTATGTAAAACAGTCTTGACTCAATTAAAAAACCAGTTTTCGTTCCGGGAGTGCAACTACAAATTAATGGCGCTTACCACAATTATATGCCACCCGCATATTGGCAAATTTTGATTATTAATTTTTTTATTAATTAATTTTAATAATTTTTGTAAAAAATATACTTAATTCTTTCACAAAAACTGTATAAATCCAAATTTACAAGTTTGCGAAATATAAAAAAAAATCAATAAACTTTCGTAAAAATGTCTAGGTTTTTAATTAAATTTTTTAAAAAGATTTTGAGTATGCTCTTTTATAGCCTATTCAAGTCTAGTATAAGAAAGTGGAAGTTTGAATTAGCTAGGACCTACCATTTATTTTTTTAAATTCTGTTTATTGAAGGTATTGCTCATTTTATCTATATAAAAAAATCGTGGTATACGTTCGTATAATTATGATAAGCGCTATATATATTTTAAAAGCTGCTAAGTGAGGAATGACGCAGAAAGCCGTAAGACGCCCTACTTTCGACGATAGCCCCTGCGAACTTATTTAAGACTATGGTTTGAGAACAGAAGATCAGGAAGGACCTTGCAATGCCCCCTAGAACTGTAACGCGAAAGAGCGCAAGTTTCATGTCGAATTTGCGGTGGGAGGGAGATTCCGACGTCAAATACTTTGTGGGCGTATGAAAGGAAGG